ATAGTAAGAAAAGTTTTCTCACTTTGTAAGCTAAAATATTATAAAAGGTGCTAATATTTTGCAATCTTGCTATCACAATTATTTATCTGTTACTCCTGTAAACTATAAGTGTCACTCTGTTTAAAAAATTTTGTAAATTTGCAGTAATAATTCCTGCTGTTGCTAACTAATTACCACTTCAAACAAAAATGATACACTCACTAGTATCGCATTCGCGACTTTCTGGCGACATCATCACTGATAAATTGCTAGAAATATGCGACAGGGTTATAAGCGATCTGATTTCCATTCCTGCATCCAACTAAGAACAGCAGACTTATTTCGCTTACTCCAGTGCTGAAATTCTTTATGTACAGAACATTAAAATATATATGTCCATATAAGAATAAGAACAATAATTGAATTTGATATAAGTATATAAATGAATTAATTAATTAACCTATTAACAAAAAATAAGTAAACAGACAGATCTATAAATATAAATGAATAACTATACAATCACAAGCAAATGAATCTCATATTTATTGACCTATATGTATACGGTCTCTAAGATCTAATATGTATTCAAAAGAAATTGATGTGTTAACAAAAATGTATCGTAAAATTGAAAATAATAATTAATAGAAATACCTTTTATTTCCGCTCAACTGACTTTCATTGACCAGAGCTCTGAAAATTAATTCCGAAAAAAAAATTTTAATGCAGAAATATCATCTAAAATATTTATGAATCCTACCTATCCTTAGCTTTATCCCTCCTAAACTCACTAAGACCTAAATTTTTGAACGAAAAATTTCTTGAAAATTGATACACTTTCTAAGTTTCTTATCCTACCACAGTGATCACCTAAACATTTTCTTTAACTCCCTAGTTTAATGCGCCAACAAATTCAAACTACTTAGAAGAATCTCAAAGAAACATTTGCGGAAAAATCGTTACCGTTGCCGTAAAATAAGTAAGTTTCTCCTTGCATTTCGAGCTATCTAAAAATCTCATAATTAAATTAATTAGTGCAGCTAATATAAAGCTTTTCTCGAAAGAAAAAAGACTAACATATGACAGAAGAGAATAAGGTAGACAGATACATTTACATAATAATCTAAAGAAATATGAAGCAATAAAATATTTACAAATTTCAAAGAAAAAAAGGAAGACAGATACAAAAATTGGGAAAGAAACACATTACTTACATAGCGATAACCTTACAACTTCTGCAAATACAATGCAAATAATACTTAACAATAAGAACTAAACAAACAAAATTAAACCTTACATCACTTGAAATTAATTCAAAAATTCAATCCTTGTCGGCATTCTCGCTAACTGCTGCGAAGCCCTTCTTCAACGTCTGCGACATCTACGCCTTGGCCGTTTTTCCTCATCGATTGCAAAACCTGTAAAGCATTATCAAAAAATAATCATAGGAAAAATAAAAGATACTTTTTCAGCATTCAACACATCTTCCAATTTACCAACTAATGTTAAAAATGACAACAATTCGAGTACCTGGAGGGAAGTATAGTTGTGCATCGTCCCTGCCAAGTGTCCTGAGGTACTTTCTCTTCTCGGCTCGTTCGCGCAGGACGCGTTTGTCGCCACACGGACAACGCTCAGTTTGATGAGCTTTCATCAGAGCCTGTAAAGGTAATGTATAAAAAATTAAAAATGCATGTATTTTATTCCCAAAGCTTCGCATGAAATTAAGAAAAATACCTGCGCAATCGGTATTGAACAGTCTGTTGGAAGCTCGATGTGCAGACGACACCGATGGCAATATCCTGAAAGAGTAGACATTCCAAATTTACTTGTTAATCAAAAATGATTTCAAGAATGTGGGCTAATATGCACAAACATTTATTAAATGCTTAATTTATTAGAGCAAAAATTCTTACCATCAAGTGCGTGTGCAGCTGTCTTCACCACGTGAAGCTTCCACGCCCGTATTGATGCAAACGCTTCACTGCGCATCAACGGGCACCTCGCGAGATTGCAATCTGAAGAGGGATTGCTCAGACGAACCATAATAGCAGTTTTTCCCATAAATGTGAAGTATTTTGTGGCATTATCACAGATATAATAAACTTACGGATTAATCCATCTCGCACCACGTAGGGATCTATTGGAGGCGCTCGCAGTTCCTTTTCCAACCCTGGGAAATTTTCAGGGTTGGATGCCTCAAAACTCGGAACGTGGCGCCTAGCCGGACTTGGGTCAATTCGTGTGACATATGACCCTCGCCTGCGCCTGAAGCAATAACTGTGTGAATAAACGCCTAATCAATGCAAGGAAAGCTTCAGCAATATATTTGGATATCATAAGAACTTACAACTTTGCGCAGTAGTC